ATTAAAAAAAAGGAAAAGAGGAATCCTTACATTTCAGAGACTAAAGACATCTTTTTGGGGTATTTTTGCTTGAAAAATGATTGAAATGATTAGTCTATTGTCTAAATGCATTATTCTGAACTAAAAATAGTTGACAAATTGATTCGACAGTTTACATTGAATTTATTGACATTTCGATAATTGATTGTTACTTCTATCAAACCAAGTAAAAATGGTTAGGGTTAGGGTCACCTTCTGAAATGTTAGAACTTTCTGCATTTTTCCTGTATTTTACATTATTAGAAACTGAAAATATCTTTGGGTTTTAGACAGATCAAACCAAACATCTTAAAATGTCATCTATAATTGTGAGTTTCATGTATGGCAGAACAGAAACCTAATATTGTTTTCTTCAGAGGAAGAGGGGGGTTGATGTCAAAGGGTTTATTTACAAAATGTCCAAAACATTGCAAGTTTAGGTCTTTGAAATCTATTCTGTCTGACCAGCAGTCAAAAGAATAACGATGATCCATTTACATCGACATTACACAGAGAAAGCAGCACATCCTCACATTGAGAAGCTAGGAGCAGGGAATATTTGACATTTTGTTGATTCATTTCATGGCAATTTATTCATCATGTAATTATTTCCGTGCTAAAACAGATCCAACCCAGAATCAAAGGCGTTTGTCAGCGTGCAGCGCTGCGTGTAGCTCAGCTGTGACGAGGATGCTGCTCTCATGCATGGCTGCTTCTGTATCTCTGACCTACTTTCCTCCATCATTCCCTCTCTCTGTGTTCTCAGCCTCCAGCAGCCTCAGACTGACTCCACCTTCCTATGATGTGGAGGGGCTGAAGGTGGGGCCCGTTTCCATTTTACCCTCTATCTCTTAACACCGGAGGGAAACATCTTGCAGGGCCGGCATGCACATGGCTGCTGCTAACTTGCTGATTCTCTTTATTAACCAATAGGATGTTTTTGGCTTGGTTTGTCGATGTTATTGCTAAAATAATTTAAAATAAAATTGCCTGATTTTCATGAAATTTGCTGGACCATGGACCAAAGAATAATCCATTGGAATTTGGAGAGGATCCAAATCTTTAAACCTGCCGTGTACATGCATAATATTTAACCTATGTTAACTTTGCCAGATAGGACATATTTGCTGCATTCATGCGGTTTCGGAATAATACAACAATTTAACAAACACATCCGTGACTACACCAATCTGTCCATAACCAAATCTCACCTTGTCAGAGCTGCTTTCAATGCTTTATTAATAATGTGGGTTTTATCATTTCCTGCTGTTTTTTATTGATTTTTTTTTTACTGAAATTGACCATGTATATATCTTTGAGTACACTATGTATCAACATGTTGAACGCTCCAAATAAAAAATGATACTACATAATATTCTTTGTAGCATCTAGGTTGTTTTCACATTACGAGCTCATAAAGAAACTAAAGAGAGAAGAACGACTTTACAACTCAGGAAATAAGACAGTCTGAGGAGCATTTGAATGCACCATTGACCTTGACAGAGGTGTGTGCTTACCAAATGCCTTTCTAGTTCCTACCTTTGTTTTCATACCTCCAGGATGTTAACCACACCCTGCTACCTTTCCACACATCCTCCTGTCACACTCTTAAGACACGACACGTGGAGCAAAATCCAAACTTTCTGTTCGAGTTTGTAAAAGACTAACCACAACATTAAAAGTTGGAATTCAGAATATGCGCAATTATTCCTGGGTTGTCATGGTGCAGGGCGTTAAGTCATCTCCAGCTGCTGCATGCTTCAATATGTACACAAGACACACACACACACACACACACACACACACACACACACACACACACACACACACACACACACACACACACACACACACACACACACACACACACACACACACACACACACACACACACACACACACACACTCGTCTACTGGGGAAATGAACCATCCTCCATCAGCATGGTGCCAATTAACTGAGAAGAAGAATGCGGTTTAAATCCAGCTGTAGCTTAACGAGACGGTGCGATCGGAAAGACGTCAGAGCAGCTTCTTTCAGCAGACTTTTAGAACCCTGTCATACTTTTCTTCGAACACCTGACTGAATGAACATTTGCAAAAAGAGAAGTGTTTTGTTTTGCTGGGGGAGGATCTTATGAGTCCTAAAAAAGACCCCAGAAGAAGCACATTTGAGATTCGACTAATGATTATTCTCCTTATCAGGTATTGTTTTGGCAATAGAAATTCTGAAGATAGCGTCAACATTTCCAAAGATTTGAAATTGTTTGTTCAAAATTAAATATATATATTCGGATTACATTAATTAAAAAATTAAAAAAGCAGAAAATCTTAAAATTTGCGAACAACGTTTGGTAGTTTGTAAAAAAATAATGATATGTTCTGAAGCAGATGTTTGAATCTAAATATCTTCTATAATATCTCGACTGTAGAGAAGTAGCTTGAGTGATGTGGTTGGTTTTGCCAGCCTAAGCTTCTCAGGCCGTGGCTCCTCAGGCCGAGGCTCTTCAGGCGGGGTGAGGTCACCTCTGGTCTCGGGCCAACATGAGGCGGCAGCGCGTCAGTCTTTGCTAAATAGAGCCTTCAGTGTCGACTCATTTCGTAACGCATGACGCTCGGGACACGTCTCTGAAGCGGATGACTCGATGAAGTCAGCAGCCAAAATCAGAGGAAAGATTGTTTTAATTAAAAGGCCTGGAATACTACAACGGACCTGCATCTTTCATAATACTAAACCAATAAAGAGACATCGTTTTCAGAATGCTCCAACATTTATCAGAGACAGGTGATAGGGGTGGCTTGTGGGGTGAATGGGCATCTATCAATCAGAGGTCAGTGGTTTAATCCCCAGACCCTGCAGCAAACATGTCATAGTGTCCTTGGGCAAGACACTTAACGCAAAATTGATCCTGTCGGTATGTCTATGAAATGTAAGTGTATATAACTTGCTCTGGATAAAAGCATCAGCTAAATGACATGTTATAGTACTAAGTGTTCAACTTTCCAGCCAAAAGGGGTTGGGTGTTCCCTTCCTGTAGTGTATGTCAATCTTTGTGCATGTCAATGGTCCGCAAAGGCTCAAATCCCTGTGTTCCCTTTAGAGGGGGTTTCTCTCCCACACACTGCCCCGCTGCCTGAAACACCTCCATTGGACTCCTTTGTTTACTTCCGTAACATAATGACATCACTATGCAACTCTGACGCCTATATTGGCTAGCGCTCCAACACATTGTTTGTGACAGGCTAAGGGTTGGGACATCTCTAAGCAGTTGACCAATCACAATAGAGCCTGCCAGCTAACCAATCAGAGCAGACTGGGCTCTGGTTTCAGACAGAGGGGGAAAAGAGGTGCTGCAGCACAGGCAGTATAAGAAAAATAAAGAGCTTTTTTAACATTAAAGCATGGAGACATGTCACATTAGAGCCCATACATAGACATATGAACCTGAAAATGAGCATTACCGGGCACATTTAATATAGATATTTTGACGCCCTGCATCGCTACAATGTATTAATTCCCTCAAGTACATTCCGTACCGGCATTGGCAAGCGACACATTTGAGAGGCTCTGAACCCATCCTTTCATTTAAACTAAAACTTCAGCCGGGAGGGAGGGTTCCATGTAGAAGACCAGCACATATTTCCAGTAACAACTGATTCCAAAGTGCTGCAGAAACTTGCAGAAAGCATTGTAGCCTCTATCCACACATTAACAAAATGACACTGAGATGTCTTTCATTCCTCATCTGGCCTGTCGGAATAGCTTTCAGCTGTGGTTACACACTACAACCGACTACAACATGCCCGCCTATCCCTCCCTTCCTTGTAGCACAAATCAATATAACAAGAAACCGGCTCTTCCCATGAGGATGGACAGAGGTGTGTCTGAGGCGAAGAAAGAGACTCACTCAAAATCCATGCACAATGCTATTATCACTGACATGCAAAAACAGAGCATTAAGCCTCATAGTCTTTCATGGTGAAAAGCTTCCCATGCACCTTACTCTGCCATCAGATCCTATCCATTGACCCCGTGCGGATTAACGCAGAGCCCATATGTGGCACATAAGCAGCCTGGTTCATTGCGAAAATGAAAAATGGGCTTGGCATTTGCGAAGGCGGTGCATCATTGCCAATTCCCAACATAATTTACTCTAATAAAAATGTTGGGATAAGAACATACGTGTAAATGATTGTAAAACACCATAGGGGGGGTTGTTTGTCTATTGCTTCAGACGCAGGATTATAGCATAAAAAGGGATGTCTGGTGCATGTACAGCGATTCCAGACACCGTGTAGGCCCTCAGATGCAAGAAAGAGGAGAAAGATGCAGAATAACGGGAGCGAAAAAAACCAAGCCACAATCACATCAAATCATGCGACACAAAGAAACGAAGCAGCTGGATTTGACTACATATTAAAGGAAAACATTGCATTATTGTCCCACTGGGATCCGTAAATAATTAGATAATAAATATTCTGACGGATTAGTCTTGTACCGCGCGCAAAGGCGATCTCCGTGAAGCTGGGGCGAGAGGAGGACCTGCGAGAGGAGGAGGATGGAGACATTTTTGTTTTTGCACGGAATGAGGAGGAAAAACACGCCGTGTCGGTGAAGGGAGGCTCCTGGGGAAATTATGGCTGCAACAAAAACACGTTTCTCTGTTTATTGTAGGTGGAGGATCGATGGAGATGGAGATCGCACATGATTTAAATGTAATAAAAACCACCAGAATATGACGGTGCTGGAGGGTGTCTGCTTCCTTTTGATGTTAGAAAAATGCATTTCACTCATGTGCATGATATTTCTATAAACGCTCAGAGGCCCAACCTCTCCCACCTCATGCAAAAAATATTAAGTGAGAAGACGAATGCCGATGGAGAATTACGAAGCAGCGTTGGTCCGCGACTCGCTGCGATGTCACGGTGTGATTCCCGGGCATTGTGTCGGTGAAATAAAGGGAATATGTCGGGTTTCTTCTTACCTGAGTGCAGACAGCAGTATTATGTCTTCAGCAGCAGTCGCTCAGCGGGCTCTCAGCTTGTCCTCGCGGTGCAGCGGCTGGCCAGAGGGGGCGCTGTGGAGCGGAGGGCTGGCTGTGGTGAAATGCAACCTGCTGCTGCACAAAGAGCTGCGACACACGATGATAAACAAAAACACTGTTTATTATATATCCACTTAATATTATATCCAAATCTTTCATTTCTGGTTTATAGTTTCCTTGTTTAAAAAAAATAAAAGGTTCATTATATGTTTATCAAACAACGTCCATGCATACAAATACATGAATCTAAAAAAAGGAACATGTTAGATTTAGCTGTTAGCTCATTTTCAAAAAGTCCCTGTGCAGGTACACACATAACAATATACAAACAATAACACTACATAGTCTCGATTACACTAAGAGTAAGAGATATTAAAAAATTAAATTAAATCAGAAATACTTTATCCTGGAGAAACATGAGTTGTGTCTTGTGTGGCATTTTGGAATACATTTTTTTAAAGGTAAATCATCAAATATATGTATAAACATAAGAAGAAAGAATTTGCAATAAAATAAAAACGTTGCATAATTATAATGCATACTAAAAAATAAATAAAAATGTATTCATGTTGTCTCCTTTTGATACGCTGCACAATCTGTACATATATTGTGGTGGATTGAGATATATTAATATTTATAATATGTGTATTGGTATTAATGTTATCTATTTATGATCAGTAATATTATTAATATTATCATCATTATATTACACTTACATTATGATATGTTATAATTATTATTATTATTAGTGTTCAATGTGTATTTGTTATCTTACCTTACTTGTTGTATTTTTGTTTTCACTGGAGCACATGTCTGAAATAAAAAGAGTTTTGATATCAGTTGACAGCAAATGTGTGTGATGTTATTTATAGATTTTGACAGCACATGGGAGGAAATGTGCCTAAAATAGCCTGAGAGAAAGATAAACACAGGTTTTTGGGATTTCAAAATAAGAGTTTGTTTTTATTTATCCCCAAAATGAAGATAGATAAAGCAAAGCTGGGCCCACCACAGAGATTATGTTATTGAACAGCAACCAACAGAAGTGAGTGACTTAAACAAATCAGAACGCCGACCTAATCCACACATAAAAGGAACATACTAACAGGTTAAACCATTTAACAGGACAGGATGGACAAACGCAATAACTGGATTAACCACAAATAAACATTAGACACACGCTTTGCTACTAACATAATATTGACCCTGTTAAATGTTGTACAATTATGTGCGCCCTTGCTCATTGTGTCCTGCAGAGGGCAATGTTGTCTGCAGTGCGTCCAGGACGTGACGTCACTGACTATACCTTGCACCAGCTGCCTTGCAGTGGCCTCTACCTTATCCGTTTAGTTTTGTTTGGATCGAGAGCTGAGTGGCAGCACAACCGCATCTCTCCTACCACGATAAATAAATATGCCTAATGAAGGCTAAAGGAAGCTGTCTACTACTGAGTTCTATTAAATCTCCACCGCAACGCACTCCGCATAACAGGTTATGGGCCCAGGAATGCCAGTCTAGAGCAACAAGGTAACAGAAGAACGAGCTGTTAGCCAAGAGAAGCTACTAGTGGGACCTGGATGAAGACGGCGCTGAGAGACTCCCGCGTAAACTGAAGACACGGTGTTTCTACAAGCCGCAACCCAATGTTTGGAGATAAGTGAACTGTATAAAGAGAAGACGTGTTAACGTGGATGCAACGTAAAAAATGGCCGGAGCAGGAACATCCCAGCAGATTTTATTCGATGGAACAGAAGATAAGTATGATCTGTGGGAGACGAGATTCCTTAGCCGTTTGCACATTTTGAAGCTAAAAGACACTATTTTGCGAGTGCCCACGGGTGAAGCCGCATTAGCTGCAGATCCAGGAAAAAATGAAGACTGTTATGCACAGTTAGTGAATGCCCTGGATGATAAGAGCCTGTCATTGATAAGACATGATGCCGCCGAGGATGGAAGGAAAGCCCTGAAATGATTGAGGGAGCACTATTCAGGAAAAAGCAAGCCAAGGATTCTAAACCTGTATACATCATTGACCACCATACAAATGGCAGACAATGAAACTGTTACTGATTACATGATAAGGGCTGAGAATATAATTGCAGCTCTACGTGATGCAGGAGAGAACATGAGTGAAGGGCTGCTTGTAGCCACCATTTTGAATGGACTGCCAGATTCATTCAGGCCACTGGCTGTCCATGTAACACAGAACGAGGATGATGTTACATTTAAAGACTTCAAGAGAAGACTGAGGATCTATGAAGAATCTAGAGAAGATGAGGACGACTGGATCTATGGACTGTCATTTTTTTCGTCTACTGTCTTGTGCAGGACTGTGTGACTGTCTGTTGTAACGGGAGACCGTTTCTGTGTTATTTCTTCCGGTCTTCCGTTCTGTGTATTAATCTATCCCGTTGTAAATTGTGGGTGTGTTGTTAGCTAGTGATCGAATAACATCATGTAAAAGTATTGTCTTATGGTGTTTTGTTTTTCTTTTTATAAGAGTGTTGTAAACCGAAAGTATGTTTTTATTTTTGTTGGTTTAGTGTTATCCTGTGTATATATTCCGTTATAAGTACTGTGAAATTTCACTGGTTTTGTTTATTTACTCTGTTTTTGGATTAAAAGTCGAACATCCGAATCACCGACGCAAAAGCAGTTTGATCCAGTCGATGTGTATCAACATGTCTTCTGTATAAGGTTCTATAGAGGGTGACAGTGTCAAAGAGTCTAATTTCTACTCAAAACAAAAGGGAACACATATACTGTCACTAGTCCGTCCTAAAACAAGTTTTTGCGTAAAAGTCACTCTATCGTATTCGTCTCGTTATTTTAGGTCAAGATGACGGACTGACGTAAATCTGGTACTGTCCCTGATAGACATTAGAGACGTATGTTTGATTGTATATATAGAGGTCAGAATTTTTTGTTTTGTTGTTTGTGTGTTTGTTTTTTTTGGTACTTCCGAAAAAGAGTATTTGCGAAGTCCAACTTAATGTTTTATTCGCGTTTGAGTTGGTTAGTTACCCACGACCGTGCCATGACGTCAAAAGTGTAGGTAGAACCAACATTTTGATTAGAAGCGACGTGACGGAATAACGTACTGTTTGAGATTTGTCAACAGTACAGTCCGACATCCACTCTTTCAAAGGAGTATCAGTTACGGAACAAAAACCGACATTGGATTAAACGGTTGTTAGAACGGGAATATGAACAGACTTGGGTAGGTCATACGTTGTGAACTCTCATATCTGGCTGTGGATGGGGGTGGACGGAAAAAACGGATCTCGGTTGGAACCCACTAGAACTTACAAGTATTAGAGAAGGATGGCTTAAGGACCGTAGAGCAGTAACGTAGACGTAACTTAGGTGACGGCACTAACCAACTGGGATACCGGAGCGAACATTAAAACACCATATACACGTCGGTTTGACGAATATTGTTTCTCTATGTATTGTGTACAATTTTGGTCAACCAGGATTAGACTATAGAGGTCAGAGTATTAGGACATTCACGTACCGAAAGAGGATCGAGATCCACCCCTGGCATAGATGATTCCTGGTGATCTACGTGAAGAGTCACCGACCGCAACAACTGTAACCACCGGTAACATCTACGGTCGTGGAGCGCCTGTGCAGAACGCTGGACTTACGTAGAGGGTATGACCTCAAGTAGTTGCGTTAAAGCTGAGATGCCCATCCAGACCCGGTGAGCGTCAACCAATGATCTCGGCGTATGACCGTGGACGCCCGGCGTACCCTCGAGCTTATGACCGACGGGATCCCACATGGTGAGAGACATGGACTTGTAAGTCTACATACCACTTGGTGTGTGTCCACGACGACACTAAAGAAAGAGAAACCGACAGAACAAACACTTAAAGTGGTATGGACACATAAAAACCCTGAATAGACCTACAGACCTGTCTACTGGTATCTTCGTTTGTACTCGACCCTGACAAGAATGTAATAGTTAGTTTAGCTGATCACGGGACGAGTTAGTTACCTTTGAGATTGAAGGTGGAAGAGAGGAGAACACTCACCATCTCATAGGTCTTTGTGTTCGTCTAGTTTTTAATCAGTTCTTTCAACCTGTGTACAGACCTGAAGAACGGACACTCTAGTAGAGTATTCGCGCACAACGGAACCCAAGCTAATGACTCTGTGGTCAATTTGACATGTGAACACATGATATATTGCATGCGAGGCAGACATGTCCGTAAGTTTAAGTGTGTCCAGTTACATACAGACCGTATATAATGACAGATTTTGGTCTGGTATGTAGGGACGAAGTATAATAGAGTTATCTCCCCAAGCCAGAGTTGGAAGAGAGACGACACGGGGCGCAATACCACACCACTCGCACTTATCGACCCACGTCTATACAGAGTACAGATTAGGATTAAAAAACCATTGTCACTAAACTTAAGAGATAATCATTGTAAGCGCATAATGTGGGTCGGGTTGCACAACAGACTTGGCATTTTGTAAAATGAAAAGGTATCCTCGACTAAGACGGTTCTTGGAGAGGACACCGTACATATAAACGTAGCTCAAAACCTACTATACTCCTTTTATCCTTAGTCAATAACCTGATGCGACTTATCAGCAAGCATTTTCTGATCACAGTATAAACACACGGGAAGATTCTGGAATCCCCTAAGAGTACCCTTGCCTAGCGCATTTAGTCACAGCCTGGTACGACATTTCCTAAGGACATCGGAAAGACAGACCGAGCGGATTAAGGAAGCAGACCCACTTAAAAGCGAACGTAAAACATGTGTAAAGTGTGTCGACACGTCCCGGACTGACCGTGACCGAGGAATAGAGTAGTACGGAAAATGTGTGTTGGGTCATGGAAAACATGTAGGAGTATCTAACGTTACAGGGTTTTACAGTACGGTCACAAACGTACAGCACCGTGTGTAATGAAAATAGTTTGTCAAAGACTTCGTCAAACCGGTTCATTTTGTCTAATGGGGGGGGTTGAAAGTACCTTCAGGTTCTAGGTGACAACAATCGAGGGGTGAGGAACCCACTAGTACACCGGACA